CAAAATGAAGAAGCTTTTTAAAATAAATGCTTGATCTGAAGAGGCCCAGTGCTATTGTATCTTCTTTTAAATAGCAGAAAATAATGTAATACTTTCAGAAAGCCACATCAATTTTAACAGCATCTGTACAAGTATAGTCAAATGTAACACCACAAACAGTGTATAACTAGGATGGTGAACCTATCGCACACATGCCACAAGTGGCACGTGGAGCCATTTGTCAGGGCACGCAAGGCATTGCCCTGTCAGCTGGCCAGTGCGCATGTGCTGAGTTCAGCCTTTTTAAAAGCCTTTTTTCACCCTCCCCAGACTCCAGAGGCTTTATAGGAGCCTGGGGAGGGCGAAAAGAGCCCCCTGCCCCCCAGAGGCTTCAGGAACTTCCCTGAAGCCTCCGGAGCGCAAAAAACCAGGCCTATGGGCAAACTGGAGACTTCCAGTTTGCTTGTAGGGTTGGTTTAAGCCCTCCGGAGGCTTCAGGGACATTTAGGAGGCTTCCCTGAAGCCTCCAGATGACTAAAAATGACCCTACAAGCAAATCAGAAGTTCGGGAATGGAAAATTTGTTCAGAAAGCTACATTAATCCAAAATGAAGATTCCTAAAGCATAAAATTATATATTTGTGCATATGGTAGTAAGTCTAATTCAGTTTTACTACCGTTTTCCCCAAAATAAGCCCTCCCTGGATAATAAACCCAATCCAGCTTTTGAGCAGATGCGCTAAAATAAGCCCTCCCCCAAAAATAAGCCCTTCACCAAAATATTGGAACACAGCAGCAGCCATGAGGTGACCATGCTCGCCGTCTCCTGCATCTCAAAAATAACACGGTAGAACTATATAAGACATTATGTTCATGGTTGAAATTAAACCTCTTGCTTTTGTTACTTTTAAAAATTAAATGTTTTTAGTCAAATCTATCATTTAAGATTTTTAAGAGGATTAATCAAACTTTTATTTCCTCCCTATATTCATATTCCACCACAGGACTGCAAACGGAACCATCACATTGATTTATATAAAACCAATTGATCAGAAACACATACAGTATCCAAAAAATAGAGATGAATCTACAAAGTACACTTTATGAATTAACCCTAATGTATTTTTTCAATGATAAAAGCAAGCCATAGATTATAATGTTACATGCACCAGGCCCAACAGGCCTTTCAACAATTCCTTACTAGAATGTCCAAAAATTAGTACCCCTGACAGTACAAGTGCTTCATAATATTTACATTTAAAAATTCCTAGAACAGAAAGGCTGAAGCTAATCCATAGGAGTAGGTTTTGACAATCCCATTTATCAAAATATCTGGCTGCTTCCAATTACTTCACAGTGGCAACATGTGGAAAACAAAGGCATTCTAATTTTTGATGATCGAATATGAATGCCAGGAGAAAGAGGGACACTTTTAAAGGTCTGTTCGCAGATATGACATTAGTATTTAATATTAACATTAGAAGTGTGCAGTGTTTTGGAAAGAATTAGGAATGGAGGCTTAGTTAGAATGAGCAAAGGCCCAAGAAGTTTCTGCAGCTCTTGAAAGCAGCTATGTCTTTTTCTGGGGTCTGTGACTGCCTGCTGAGAAAGAAACCTGGCTGCACTAAGAAGGTACAATGAGGAGCTACATTTAATGTCTGCACATTGTAAAGCAGGGGCTGGCAACCTTAAACACTCAAAGAGACACAAAGGTCCTAACCAGAAGCCCCCATTCAATTGTGCAGCTGACCAGAAGTCCAAACCCACCACATAGCCTCCTCCAAGCACAACCTACTTTTTTCTCTACCTGTCCTAACCAAAAGCCCTATTAATTGGGAAGCTGACCAGAAAATCCATCCCTTACCATAGTCTCCTTTTAGCGCGCCCTGCTAACCCCCTAACCGGAAGCTCTTCTCAAAATTGTGGTGCCAACTGTAGACAGGGAGCCACAGCAGAGGGATTAAAGAGCCACATGCGGCTCCAGAGCCCTGGGTCTAAAGCGTCCATGAGGAGTCCAATCCAGAACACTGCACCGCCTAAATACATGAATATACCCCACACACCAACATCGCACCATCTTAAGTACGTGTGTACACCACACACACCATCTCAAAGAGAACTTTTTACAGCACGGTGCAGAAGCATGTTCTTCCCACGCGGAGATCCCCGACTGAACCGGAGGGAGAATCGGTCCTGTCGGAAACTCTGTACGGAGCCAACTAGGGTCGTACTACCCGACCAAGAAGGGGTCCGATTCAATCTAACGCAGCTGCTTAGGCTGGGCATCCTCTTCCCAGATCTGGGCAACCAAGATCCGTAAGAGATCGAAGTGGATCAGTTTCCCTGGAGTGGCGCCGGAGGAGTCGACGTGCTTTTAAACCAGGAGAAATCGTTCAGAGTCGACAACTCCCAAGCCCACCAGATCCCCCCCGCCCCAAGAGTCCCGGGGAAGAGTTGTATAAGCTACGGCCACTAGAGGGCGCAGCGGGACCTCACTTGGAAAAGTCCCCGAGGCCGGCGCCTGAGTGAGCGTGCGCCCCCTGTTGGCCTCGGCAAGAAGGCTTTCCGTCCACGGCTCGGGCCAAAGTGTCCTGGATCTTCTTCTCCCCTTTTTATTGTTGTGTTCCTCGGGGCACCTTTCGCGTCTGCCAGGAGGAATCCGCAGCGCCGCCGCCTCCTGCGAAAGGTGCACCTGTCCCGGCCCTCTCCCGCCAGCCCTCGGCCCGGGTGGAGAAAAGGAGGAAGGGACCTCTGAACCCATCCCACGTGCTTTTGTAACCACCCGGCCCGGGCCTCGGAGGGTTAACATCGGCGGAGGGATCCGCCCACCACGAAGCGTGCGCTGCGGCTCCGTACGGACGCGTTTCTCACTTCCCCCCGCGCCATTTCGGCGTGTCCTTCCGCCACTCGAGCTTCCAACACAAAATTAAGTACTGGGCTGCTTTTCTCCTTTCGCGAGGCGCCGCAGCACCGTCTCGCGCCGAAGGCCAGGGGGCTGGGGATCGGAGCGGGCCCCTTCCCGTCCAGTGGGGGAGAGGAAGCAGAGCGAGAAAGGGGGCCCCGAAGAGGGAGAGACAAGTCCCTAACTCCGGGATCCCACCCTCCCTTTTGCATAGGAGGAGGAGGAGGGAGGGGGAGGTTAAGCAAACCCGGAGCTGGCCCAGCAGGACCTACTTTCCTCTCTGAAAATGGCTGCCTCGGTGAACACTTTCTGTTCCATTCCTTAAAGCCCTTCGTTGGGGTGTGGGGGGTGGGGAGAAGAGCGGAGGTGTGTGTGGGGGATAAAGCTCAGCCACCGGTGCTTCTTTTGACTCCCGTTCTCTGCTCGAGCTGAGGATTAGAGTGCGAAGGGAGCAGGTGAGAAGTTTAAAAAAAAAGGGAAGGAGAGAGCGAGCGAAAACAGGAAAAGAAAGAGAAGAGGCCTGGAACAGGAGCTTAGGGAGGAGATTAAAAAAAAGTGGGAGGCGGACAAAAATAGAAAAAGAGAAAAGGGGAAATCTTCCCCCTCCAGGCCGATGCAAAGCTTGGGTTGCGGCGGGGAGAGAAAGAAAGAGCGAGAGAAAGAGAGGGGGGCGATGAGGGCATTTATAGCCTGCTCGGGGAAGGCTCAGGGGTGCAAAGGAGGATGGTGGTGATAATAATAAGCTAAGGTTCCGGGGTTAGTTTGGGGCTGCGGGGGCCACATCGACAGGGGAGGCTTTGCAAAAGGCAGCAGGGAGGAAAGGGGGGGAAGTATGAACGTTCCAGCGGACGGGGAACTCTGAACGTTCGCTTTCCCTCCGTTCGCTCCCCCCTCCCTGGGGAAAACCTCAGCGTTCCATCCGGAGGGCTCCGGCGTTCCATCCGGCCTCCCAAGCGGTCTGTTTGGGCGCCTCTCTCGCTAGAACGGGGTGGGGGGGAGTGGGAGGTCTAGGAAAGGCGACCGAGGCAGCCCCCAAAGCAGGGGATCTCTATCTCTTCCCCCTCGGATGCGGCGGCTGGAAGATCAAAGGCAAACCCGGAGCTCCCTTTGTGTGCCGTCCTAGGAAGATCGGGCTCGTTGCTCTTTCCTTTTTTTTTTTTTTTTTGCCTTATTTTGAAACTCCGGAGTGTCGTGGTGGAAGCACCCTCTCCTTGTCTTAAGGGGGCTGGGCTGCTTGGTGGTTTTATTTTTTTGTGTGGTTTCCCCCCCCTCCCGCGGGTGGAGAAAAAAAATATTCGGATATTTGGATTTAGCATCCTTTCAAAACCTGTTTTTTTTTTAATGTGTTTGTGGGTTGATGTGTTGTTGTTGTTTTCCCCTCCCGAGTGGCTATAAGTAAACGACCAGCATCTATTGGGCATCTTTTCCCCCCACCCTTTTTTTCCTTTTTTTAAAAGGAGGGGACCAATGCAAATCTTTCCTCCTCCCCCCCTTTTCGATTTTTGGGATAATGATTTCTGCTGTGTCTTGCCTATGGATTTTGGCGGGTGAGAATTTCTGGATCGTCTTGTAGAAAGAGAGGTAGGTGAGGGTTTGCATTTTTTTCCCCTCTAGCCCCACTGCTGATTCCTTTAACTGTATTTGAATATCAATGCTCTTTGTATCTTTTGAGCCTGTGTTTACTTCAGACTTTTCAATCTTTGTTGATTTATGTAGTAGCATTTTTGGTGCAGGAGAAGAAATCTGTTTAGAAAGTGTTCAGGAAGAGGATTCATGGTAAAAAGGCCTTAGAATTAGATAGATCACAAGCAAACTGAAAATGTCTGTGTACCCTTTAAGCCTAGGCCTCATGTTTCCATTGGCTTATATAAATAAGTGACTGTGTGGTGGATGATGGTGGTGGTGGGAGGTATGGCTCCCCTTACATCCTCCTTACTGAAATAATCAAGTTATATATTTTTCAGCAGGAGGATCTGTTAATTTATTTTTCCTGTCCATTGCATTATCTGCTGGTATGTTTTGCACAAAGAATTAAGCCAGAGGGAACTGTACTTGTGTGTGTGGGTCAAAATGGTTGGTCTCATTGTATTATTCTAAGGAGGGTGTGTGTGTTGGAATAGAATTAGAAAGCATTTAACACAGAGTGGAAGGGTTCATTCCTCTTCCATTAATTTACATTTCTGTTTTGTTTGATTGGGGATTTGGATTAAAACGATAGGGTCAGTTTTTAACGTCTAACTGGGTGTTTCTTAACTCAGCTGCATCTGTGTGATAGGGTTTGTTTAAATGGAGAGCTTAACTGTCCAGGAGGTTATGGCTGCTCCTGGATGGAGTCGCTCCCTTCTGTCCCTTAGATAGAACTGCCCTCTTAAAAGCAGTGCTGTCCAGTTTTACAGAGTGAGCCAGAAGCCTCCTTTTTTCCAAAGGCAGAGCAGCCAACTGGAAAGGCCTGCTTTACCCAGCAGTCCTTTAGCCACCAGTGCAGCCTGCATGGGATTATGGAGGACTCTAAAGAGATTTACCCGGAGAGGAGAAATTGCACTGGCATTTTTTCTCTCTCCCCAAACCAGCAGAGGCTCCTAGGTGGTTTCATGCCTCGGCACAAGACAGGGTGGCGGGTTTTTTACTCGTCTCTTGAAGTTCAGATTCTTTCTGTAGGTTGTTCTAAAAGCAGAGTTGCATGAATTGAGTGGATGGCTTTCCTGTTCGGGTTTAATAGGAGGAGAGTTACTGACTTTTGTCCCTCTGGCTGTCAAAGGGGACTTTGTGGGCCACACCTGTTGCATGGATATCTGATCACTCACAGTTGGACCTATGCTGCTTGGGGTTTAAAAAATGGAGAACTTTGATTTTCTTAACAGTGGGTAGAGAGCAGCTGAACAGCAACTGGTTTTTGAGGAGAGTTAACATGAAGGGACAGATCTCACTTGAGACTGCACTGGATGTTTAAAATCCCACTGCATACATAAATAGATATGGCGATGTTATTACTAGTAGAAATGGCTGTAGAACTTTTCGGGCATCAGTATTTCCAGAGCATGTATGAAAAATGCAAAGGAGTTTGTAAGCATAATATATGCTTTTTGATTACACAAACATACCCAGATACACACACTCTTTTTGTATCTGTGTTAGAGAAAGCTCTGCTGATGATGTGAATTTTGGGTTCAGTTGGATGGAGGTCAAGGAATAGACCTGGTGGAGCACATTCCTCCTAGGGCCAACATCAAGGCTTCATGATATTCAAACGCATTGATTGCAGTGACTGTAGATATCAGATCTTTTCACTGTGACAGTTGTGTCTTGATTATTACATCCTGATGAGATACTAATAGCATGTACTGTGGAGCTGTCTTTGAAAAGTTTTTGGAAATTTGGTGGTCCAAAGGATGCTACTAGGTTAGACACTAAGGTTTCCTATACTGAAACGGTTCCACTGAGTATTATTGTTTTGAACGACAATGCAAGTTACTAGTTGTAAACTATGTATCTCTTTATTGAAAGACCACAATAATTCCCTCTATACTTGCCCTGCCTTTAAAGTCTTGATAAAAGAACCTCCTTCCTCAGTCCTGGCACCATTTGAGGTGCACACGAGAGAAGTAGAAGGTCTTCACATTGGCTGCTTCTAAATTTTGGGAGAAGTTTCTTATGTTACTCTTTCCAGGCCAAGCCAAAACATTTTTAATTAGGGAGTCCCAAGATGATTTGCTAAGTTGTTGCTTTTTGTTTTATTACCAACATATTTTAAAATGTTTTAATTATTTGACAATGATTTGTAGGGTGCTTTTTATGTTACTTGTTAGCCAGGTTCAGAACCAATAATTTCTGGAAATATGAATATAAATTAATAGAATGCAATAGTTTAAACTATTGGTCGTGAAACCAGATTTATGATGTGATATGGGAACCAGAAAAGAAATGGAAGACACCTTGCTGTCATTCTGCTGCTTTTTACTAAATCCTCAAGGATGGATGAATGAAAAAAAAGTCTAGAAATCCCTCCCGAAGTTTCTTGAACAAAATATATATATTAAAGAAACATTCCATGGAAAATATGAATATGAACCTTTGCTTTGGGGATTTTGGCTATATCTGAATCCAGACCATTAACTATAGTGTATTTTTTCTATGGATATGCACAATCCAAGGTTCTGAGGTCAGTAGTTGAGGTGAAGCATTACAATGTAATGTCAGTGAATTTCTGCTATTTATTCAAGTTTGGCCAGGTAGAGTTTTCAAGCTGTTTGCTACTAACAGAACTTGATGCTAATTGCTCTATTTCTTGCTGTATCTAAAGAGTGCTGCAATCTAAAATGTGCATTGATCCATGAAACTTGTTATGCAAAGTCCCAGCCTTAGGTTCTTGGTTTAAATCTGTAATCGTTTTTATATTGAGAGATCCTATAGAGAAAATTTGTTTTTGAGCAGTTCTTTGTTTCTTCACACTTGATAATTGCATATACTTATTGCCAAATTTTGCATACCAGTCTCAGCCTATCCTATAAGCTGGGAACTATTATTTTGGAATGACAGGTTGATTCTTTATCTTTTCCATTTAAAAGTTTTGGGTGGGATGAACGTCCTGTTATGTTTCCAGCATTGTAGAATAACATGTGTAATTTACACAGTACGGAATGAAGAGAGAAAGCAATTTGATATAGCCTAATTGAGTATGACATCAGCAGAATCTTTATTGAGCATTTTATCTATTGATCCTACTTCTTGTATACTTGGTCAGTATATATGAATAGGAAGAGAGTTGGATTGTTATGCAGGCAGATGGGGGATGCTGGAAGTTGTACAGATAGTCCTTGACTTGTGACCACAATTGAGATCAGAAACTAGATCAGATCATTTTTTTATATATTTTTCATGGTGTCATTAAGCAAATCATTGTTCCGAATGTGTGTTTTTCGCCAGAAATTGGCAAAATGTCGCAAATTAAGTTCATATGACTATGGGACATAGCAACCAGTTGTAAGGGCGAGCTGCTCGGTTGCCGAGCACTGAAAATGCGGTCACGTGACCTTGGGGTAGGTAATATGATGGTTCAAAATTATGGGATGTAAAGCACCCGTTCTGAGAGAGTCCTAACTCCGTCAGTCGTAAGTCAACTACCTGTAGTTTAGTATCTGGAGGGCCATAGGTTCTGTATTACTAGGCTAGACATGCAAAATTTAAAAATAGCTAAATTCTGTGATGCCTTCCACACTTAGTATTTTGGCAGAAGTAGAGAAATGAAGCCATTATAAATAGAAAAAACTCTGTTAAAGATCTCTCGGGAACCAAAGTTTCTCTACTGTAATTATAAATTGACAGTGTGAAATTGACCTTACTTGAAGATGAAGTGTTAATGTGCTGTATAGGTTGTTAACTTCCTTTGATCTTGGATTCTACTTCTCCGTTCATTGAAGTTTCAAAATAATAAAATAACTTTTAAGAAAAATTACAAATTTATATTAAAATAACATATTGAAAAGGAATACCTGCACCAAGTTAGAGACCGCAAGATGGTTGCAAAATCGCTCTGGTAGAGAGAGAAGGACGATCTCTGATTTATAGAGAGGCATCTCAAACAGGAGCTCTGAGTATGTCCATGGTAGATTTGGGCAGACTTTGTTTAAATTTCCTGGGAAGCTTGAAATTTGTACTTTTAGCCTGGCAACCATAGAATTGCATCCCGGAGAATGCAAGGATTCCATGCAAGTGGCTGGGAGAGAAAAGGTTTCTATGGAATGGAATAAAGACTGCTCCTCTGCCCCCAATGCCAGTGTTAGATCTTTCTGGATTTATTTTATTTTATTTTATTACATTTTTATGCCACTCATTGCCCTGTCCAGTGATTCTTGGAATAGTTTTCAAAGGCAGCTCCATGTCCAGATGGCTGCATCAATCCAGCCTGGAAAATTTCAATGAATGGATAATAGCAATTAAAACTATCTGTCTAAAAGGATTTATACTAGTCATATTACGGGTGTTTCTCCTGCTATATTCAGAGCACAAGGAACTTTGTTGTTGTTTTTTTAATGGTGAGAGCCTTCAGTATTTTGTGACATAGTTTATGTGTTTAAAAAAGGACTCTCAAATCTTTAGTGCTTTAAAGCAACTTTTCATATGGTTGGGTCTCTGGGTAATGTAATATTTGGCATATAATCCTCAATGTAAAAACGGTTTGTCTAGTGGCCATTCGCAATTACAGTGGCACTGAAAAAAGTGACCTATGGACTAATTTCACACTTACGACCGATACAACATTCCCTTGATCATGTGATCAAAAGTCAGCTGCTTGGCCACTGACTCATATTTATAACGGTTGCAGACTCCTGGGGTCATGTGATCACCCTTTGCGACCTTCTGAAAAGCAAAGTCAGTGGGGAAGTCACTTAACAACTGTTACGAATTTAACAGCTGCAATGGTTCACTTAACAACTGTGGCAAGAAGGGTCATAAAATAGGGCAAAACTCACTTAGCAAATTCTCACTTAGCAACATACATTTTAGGCTCAATTGTTGTAAATTGAGGACTACTTGTATTCAGTCCGAATCTATCATCCTAACCTCTAAAAGGGTCTTGTCCA